AGATGGGGCGAGTGAGGAGGACAGCAAGGGCCTCAGAGTGTGGGCAGAACGAGATGCAGCCTGGGCACTCACTCGTCATCGTCCGTCTTGGGGCCAGTTTGTATCCTACTCTCTTAATAGGGAAACCCTGGGCTATGGGGAGGTGGGAGCTGGGGGGTGATGGAGAGGAAGTGTTTTAGCACAGCTGTGTCCTGTTGACTTGTACGTGCAAGAGGGGTCTTGGGTAACCACAGGGCTCAGGTTAGGTGCTCACTCAACTTGGGCTGTTTACAGGGAAGTGGTTTCCACAGTACGAGGAGGTGAAATGTCAGTGTCATCCCAGAGTTACACTTTGAGGGCTCCTTCTCACTAGAGTTCTGCAATCATAGTTTCCCCTAGAGAGCAGAAAGTTCTGTCGTATTCCACAGCTGTTCTAACCGCACAGATTTGAATAAGCAAAGATGTCACAACTCTTGGAGAATACAATATGATTCCATCCCGAACTGGTTAGAGCAGTGCCAGCCAAGTGCTGAGCTGGCAAGCAGTGAGAGTACAGCCAGCCTTTCAGCGGGCTGCTCCTTCCAGAGAGACTCCTCAGGAGTACCCCACACTCTCCACCCCTCCACCCCCGTCTCCCACACAAAGTACACTAATCAAATGGCATTAAGGCCTCTCAAATATGAGAGTTCATGTTCTTAGCCTTTGACCAAGGAAATCTGCACCTGAAAATTTATTTCCTACCTAGAAAAATCCTACCCTGAGGGAGGGGTCATATGCACACACATGTTTAATTTCCAGTACATTTACATCAGTTTAAAACTGGATATACTTTAAATCATCAGTAATATAGAAATGGCTAAGAAAAATTCTGGTGTCTATGAGGTAGCCTTTATACATGGCGTGATGTCATAAGAAATGTCTACATGATGATAAAACACTTGAAAAACCCAAGATGCAAATTGTAGCTCATTTTAAGCAAGACCCATCTACCCAGGATCTGGGGATCTGATGACTCTTACACAATCCCTTCTTGCAGATGCTGTTCCCAGAAAAGAAAGGGAACACTAAAGGACTCTCCACCAGTGATTCATTGTTTGAAGTTCGCTCACTTCCCCCATCCTCCACAACTGCCAGTGGAAGTGGGTGGTGCTGGTGACAGCCCAGCTCTGCCCCTCTGCGTGCGTTCCAGAGTGGGTGTGTAGCATCATTTTCTGGTGGTTACCACAACACCATAAAGAGTAGTAATGTTCTTTTAGCCTCAGATATGGACAATGGTCTTTCCTTGGGCAACAGGAAGTACACAACTCAACACCTCCAAGAGCAAAGGCCCCCAATGACTGAACTTTTCTAATCTACAGAACAAAAGAGAAGAAATATATACCTCACCTACAAACAGTGAATGCCCTTCATATGCCAACAAAGAAAATCAACAGTAGCCCACACCTCAATCTGTTCTATATCCTTTTCCAAAACAGAGGCTGGTATTTCCTTTGGGAAGACACCCTTCCTTGTATTTCTCCAACTTTAATTGATATGAAGTTATGTAGACATCTGTACCTTGATCAACCTAAGTAAACAGCAAAACCCATCACCAGTAATTGGTTAGGAAGTGAAATTGAGAAGAATCTCAAGTTTTGTTTCGTTTTGTAACACATTCTTCCCTGAGCACAAACAAACAAACAAAGGATTCATGTAACTCTGGCAGGTTCTGGCTGTCTTCCTGGAAACCCATCTAAGGGACATGTGATTCCAACAGGCAGCTGCATCCAGGTCGCCAGGGGCCACAGCTCGCTTTGTAGCTGACAGTCAAGGTTCATTAGCTCAGGCCTCTTCAACTTAGGTTGGATTGGCTTCCTCCTTAAACCAGCTAACAAGCACCCTGAGAAGGGCAGAGCACTCTACCATATAGAAATATGGTCCTGGCTGAAGTATGGAACGGACTGAATAGAAAAGGGCCATTAAGTGGTTTTTAAACTCCAGTGTGCGACAGCATGCCCCAGAGGCTCATGAAAACACAGCTTGATGGCCCCACTGCCTAAAGGTTGGGAAAGGCTTGGAATTTGTGTTTCTAGTTCCTAGGTGATGCTCACTCAGCTGTGAGGCACCACCTTTGGAGAACCATCACCGCTTTAGCAATCTGCTTTGGACTCTTTTGTTCTCTTCAGATGGAAATCACAGATAGTCCAGGGGAGCCCCTCAGTGTCAGCAAGCCTGGCCCCCGACACACCCGGTTAGAACTGATGTTTACAGCTTTGTCAGTCACCTTTGGTGGCTGCTCGTTCGCAGCCCCCTGCCACCACAGCTCCCCTGCTACCACAGCACTTGCCTTCTGCGGCCTGTTGGTTTTCTGAGGCCTTTCTCCATTCTCTGTGGTCTCTCACCTTCTCTGAACTTGTGCTGTTGTTTGAAGACACAGCTCAAAGGTACTGCTTCCAGACACGCTCTGAAGCCCTCTGACTCCCCGCTAGCTGCTGGCTGAGCCTAGAGCAGGCAGCCCTACATTTGTCTGTGCTTTGTGTTGCCAGCTGAGCCCACTTTATCAGTGATCAAAGACCGCAAGTCACCAATGAAACCACTTGGATGAGACTTTATTGGGCCTTAACAGCAGGACATTTTGGGGTATGACATTTTGGGGACTGACCTAAAATAAGTGTGAGGAGGGCCGTTTGTTTGACCAGCCATGCAGATGGATGGCCTCCTGCCTGCTAACCACACACCTTTTGCTTATTGCCCCCAGTCTGTTCAGTTGTCCCGGGCCTGTCCACTCTAGCTGTCACGAACATGTGCTTCTTCCCTCTGTCCTAAAGACGGCTTAAAGATGGACAGAGGCATCCAGAGCAGCGATAGACAATATCACCTGAAGCTGTTGGGCTGCTTGAGGCAAACTGATATCTTTTTGAGCGATCTCAGAGTATCTGGAATGATGGTGACTGAAACAGAGACATGCACATAATGAACCTTGGAGCTTATGCAGGAGTTTCCACAGTGGCCATGACGGCTGTGGCAGTTTCTGCAGGTAGACTGAAGTCTCCTACAGTTTGGGCAGCTGGACTGGAGCCTCCCTGGACAGCCATGAGATATTTAAAGCAGCTCAAGCGTTCATGCCAGCTTCCCTGGTTAGAACAGAAAGGGCTGGTTGACTAATAGCTCCATAGTCTGCAGGTAAAGTAAGAGGCTTAAGTAATTGCCTCTTTTGCTGGTGGAACTTCAGGATAGCAACAATGTCATTTTACAACCCTGCCAACCTGGGGACAAGTAGGCTACAGTAATGGTAGCCTGTCCTTTTTTAAAAAATACTTTTGCTTGTTTGTTTGTTTGTTTGTTTGTTTTGTGTGCATGTGGAGGTAAAATTTGAAGATGTTGGTTCTCTTCTACCACATAGGTCCTGGGGCTAAATTCAGGTCATGAGGCTTGATGGCAGGTACCTTTACCCACAGACCATCTTGCCAGCCCTAGTCATGGTTCTCTATTGGACCGCTGGCTCTGCTTGGTCTGGGGTAGTTAGTTGCTTGATTGGGCAGTTGCTGCAGGTCAATAGTTAAGAGAATAGTCTGGAAGTGAAAGTGGAGTTTGGCAGCTCGCTTGTATCATTTGCGCTCTGACCTTGGCCAGGTTGCTTCAGCTCTCCGAGCCCCGCTTTTCCTTTCTGTCAGGTGGAGATGACTAATTGTGCAGCCTAAGATGTCCTCCTGCTCTGGTGGGTGTTTTAATCTGCGCTCCATCTCTGTGACAAAACACCCAAAAAACTCAGCTCAAAGGAAGAGAGGCTTATTTCTGCTCGTGATTTCTGAAGTTGGCCATGGTTCTGTCAGCCAAATGGTGAGGCCTCGTCATGGCAGAAATGTGAAGAAAAGCAACCAAGAAATAGGTCTTGCTTCTGTCGCAAAAACCGCACCCACCTCCCTAAACCTGGTAAAGTCTGACTTCAATACAGTTCAGGAGGTCAGAGCCCTCATGAACCAGTCACTGCTGAACACTGCTGTACTGGGGACCAATCCTTTGGTACATAAGCTTTGTGGGGAGGGATATGTGGCCTGGTGGTGCCTCTAATCTTAGCACTCAGGAGGCAAAGGCATGCAGTTCTCTAAGTTTCAGGCCTGACAGGGCTGCAGAGTGAGACTCTGTCTCAAAACAAAAACGAAAGGCAAGATTGAATGGACAATGTATAAAAAAAACACGGAGTTTTGAGTAATCCTCAAAACTGTTCTTAGAAAGCTTGATTTAATGGTATGCATAACTAATACTCCCTTTGATGACATTTATTTAAAAATGGACTTTTTCTAGAGTAGGTTCATTAAGAGTTGATTCACGAAATAGTCACCACTTCAGTGTTCCAGAACATACGTCCAGTACAAAGTGAATGCCTCCATGGAAGCCCACCCATCTTCACCTTTCCCAACCCTTGCCAACACCCCTAACTTCTATCTCACATCTTTTTATTATTTACTGTTATTCCTCTTCGCCAGTAATTCCGATTTTCCAGAAAAAGAAAAAATAAAATAAGACTCAATGCCAGTCACTTTTTTTTTTTTTTTTGTTTTTTTTTTTTGTTGGTTTTTCGAGACAGGGTTTCTCTGTGTAGCTTTGCGCCTTTCCTGGAACTCACTTGGTAGTCCAGGCTGGCCTTGAACTCACAGAGATCCGCCTGGCTCTGCCTCCCGAGTGCTGGGATTAAAGGCGTGCGCCACCACCGCCCGGCTAATGCCAGTCACTTTTAAAAGAGCGTATTTATTATTTCTCTGGTATAGACAAAGCATCCATTGTTTATTTGTCAGTTTGTGACCTTGTCACCACGCCTAGCTAGACAGAATAGGCTGGTGACAGCCACTTTGCTGTCACTAAACACAGTCTGAGCAAAGGGGGTGGGGGTGGGGAATGGGTGTTGGGAAGTGCCCTGAGATCTTTCAGAACAAAGAGTCACAAACACAAGTGTGACAATAAAATAAATTACAAAATTAAATAGTATTAAATTAAATTAAAATTCAAGTTAAGAGTCCCTGAGTGTGGCTACTTGGCAGCAAACAGCTTGCAGGAAATGGAGCTGTAGAGGTGGTGGGGATGTTCCCGAGGCTTAGGTCCTGGCTCCCCACAAGGCCCATGGAGGTTTCTGGGTTCCTCGCTGCCTCCAAGCCTCTCAGGCCTTCAGCTCCAGGTCAGTGATGTATTCTTGGACCCAGGTTTCATTGGGGTCAGCGCAGACCTGCCGGTTTCTCTTGGTTAGGAAACTGTGGAGAGAGATGAGGGTCAAGAACTGGAACATCCTGTGGGAGAGTCTGATGTCCTTCTCCATCCCACTTGTCCTCACAGTGATGCTCTGGACAGCTTTTCTCACTGGCCCCCTTTAGAGGATCCTGGGCTTCCCTTTGTATTTTTTTTTTCTTCCTGTGGCTGAGAAACCCTCCCTCACCCTGTTCCACACCCCACCATATCAGAGAAAGCAGGAGAACGGAACTTACATGACACCTGGCTCAGAGCACTGGCTGCTGGTCTCAAAATAGTCAGCGACAAATTTGCGGGGAATCTGCCGGCCATAGGAGAAGCAGCAGGAGACTGGGGTGTCAGCACCATCTGCAATGGAGGAGGTCAGAATGAGTTCAAGTCATCATCGAGCAGGAAAAGTCAGCCAACATAACTTCTTGACAGGGTGAGGAAGGTTAGGGCCCTGACAGCATTTGGGACCAGAAATCCCCTGTGTCTTCTGTGTCTCTCTCTCTCTCTCTCTCTCTCTCTCTCTCTCTCTCTCTCTCTCTCTCTCCCCTGTGGGCTTTTTCTTTCTCTGTGGGTTACCCCATGTTCCTTCCACAGCTTTCTCTGATACAAGAATTTAGCAAAAAGGACACCTGGGCATGGCTTAAGGCATCCCCGAGACAGAGCTCCTTAGGCATCCTAGGGCTGGCTGGTAAGCATATGCTACCAACTGCTCTCCCTCACTGTGACTCCAAGTCCTGGGTACCTACAAAAGGGTAGACATCCCCACCCCACAGAGAGGAAAATAAAAATCTTAAAGAGAAAGATCAATTTATTTTTCTCTTGTAGACCCTGAAGCCACAGAAAAAAACTGTTGTGGTCTGCCCAAGACCAGAGAGTGGGGGACACCCACTGAGGTGGTGTGGGCACCCGCTGAGGTGGTGTGGACTCACATGGTGCTGAGAAGACTTCACTCCAGAGAGCCATAGTGCAGAGGAGGACAGCAAGGGCAGCTGGAGGGACCTTCATGATGCAGAGCAGGTGATGGAGTGTGGGCTCGTCAGCAGAGACTGGTCCTCACTGCCACTTATGTCCTTCTGGTGTCGGAAGCCATGTACCCCTTCTCTTTATAGTTAGCCCTGGCAGATGGGGAAATGGAATCCGGGGGTGTGGAGGGAAATTTTTAATAACAGCAATGGTGTCGTGTTGAATATTGCACAACCCAGGGTCCCCAGTGACTACAGGGGCTCAGGATATCCAAGAATAGCATCACTGAGAGAGAGCCTCAGCTCTCAACTCGTGACCTATTCTTACTTCTTGTGAGGAAATAGTTTCTCTTATGAACGGGAGGAGCTTAGGACACTGTCAACCCAGGGCTATTCTTAACTGATCCCTTCTCATAAAAACCACTTTGTGAATGAGCACTCCAGCCCCGTTCCTTGCCATGGAACGGAAACTCTGTCATTTCTCAGCTTTTCTAACCACGCAGACGGAATAGCTGTAGATGGTGGCACAACAGCCCCTCCCCCCACCACCATGAGGGATGGAGTTAAAGCATTCCCAGCTAGAGCGATGGGGAACATGAGGCCACATTTCAGATATTTGTCCAACCATCAGTCACAGAGTGACTAGGTCACTGGGTTAAACAGTAGTTGTGGGTCATAATGATATTTCAGGTGAGGGTGTCAATATTCGAGGAGCCTAAAAATATTTATGCCCATTAATCTAGAAAAAGCCTTTCTAGGAAAGGTGTGGAAACAACACAAATATGAAGGTATCTTTAAACACAGAGACAGCTGGCCAGGTGTCATTATAACTCTGAACTAAGGAGACTGAACTTTCAGTATGAAAGATTTATAAATCAAATTACAGCGTGTTCATTGGATTGCTTATTTATGAAGCTCTTAAAATGAATAAAATGACATAAATACAGTCATAACATCAGTGCTAAAAATATCAAGAAAAATTGTACAACTTTTACAAAGCGAAGAATTCTAGAAATATACACAGATTTCCATGTCAAACCCATGCATTATACATAAGTAATGTGGAAATAAAAACCATTAGAAAGAAAAGTTTTAAAGAATTAGTAATACTTTGTGTGATTTTGAGATTTTCTTATTTTATTTAGTGAGATTATTACCTTCCAGGTCAGTTATATACCCATGAACTCATTTAAAGCATTTTTTAAAGTTTAAAGCATTTTTCAATATCATCAGTTTAAAAGTAAGCTGTTATCAAATGTTTTAATTTTAAATGCTTTTAATTTCAGTTTTTTGGAGGCAAGGTCTCACTAGGTAGTCAAAATTATGATCCTTCTGCCTCAGGCTCAAGAGTGCTAGGATGGCAAGCATGTGGCACCATGCCTGAAAGCAAGTGTGTGTGTGTGTGTGTGTGTGTGTGTGTGTGTGTGTGTGTGTGTGTGTGTAGTCTGCCTGTGTGTGAGTGTATGTGTATGTGCGTGCATAAGGGAGACCAAGATTAACGTCAGGAATTATAACACCATCAGTCTTCCATATTATTCCTTGAGGCAGGGTCTCTTAATCAAATCCAGAGCTCACTACTATGGCTGGTCTTGCTATCCAGCTTGCTCTGGGGATCCCCAATCTCTGCCTTCTAGGACTAGAATTATCAGGCAGGCTGTGGCAATGCAATATTATGATAAAAATGTCTCATACATTCTAAGAGACTAGAACTTTTACTGGAGTTCACACCCAGAGTTAACAATGTACCTTGAGATCACGTAAGACTTCAGACTGCTGTCCTACTGTGTACTCAGCCTGCTTGTTTAACCTGCCTTTAAGAGAACAATCTAACTATCAACATTATTTGCCTTGGATTTCCCATGTAATCAACATTTACATCCTAAGAGGATGCACAGCTTTAACATTAAATTATGTACTCTTCCATGTCCCCAATCCAGAACAATGCACGTATATCATTTGCTGAAAGCAGCAAATACAGAGGACGAAAGCAACCTTCTAAAACGATTACCCATTAGGCTGGGCAGTGGTGGCACGTGCCTTTAATCCCAGTACTCAGGAGGCAGAGGCAGGCAGATCTCTGTGAGTTCGAGGCCAGCCTGGGCTACAGAGTGAGTTCCAGGAAAGGCGCAAAGCTACACAGAGAAACCCTGTCTCAAAAAACAAAAAAACAAAAAAAAAAAGAAAGAAAAGAAAAGAAAAAAGAAAGAAAAAGAAAAATCACACTTCATCAAAATGCAGAGCTGTAGAGTCACACAGCTCCTGTACTCGGGGGTTATTGCAGCAGAGGGGCAGAAAGATGGTAAGGGCCAGAGGACTAAGAAGTCTGCAGTGAGATCCTAGAAATATCAGAGAAGCTACAATGAAGTCCCACCAACATGGCTGCCTGACCATGACCTGAACAAGGGCGACACCAATAGACAAGCCATTGGAAGGAGGAAAGCGTAGGAGGCCTCAACACTAGACAGAGAACTACAGGCAGCTAAGGAATGCTAAGAGAGGAGAAAGAGTCTTCCTCAGGGGAGAGCACACCAACTGGTTATCTAATACTAAATGATCAGCCCTGAAAACATGCATACAAGTGACACGTAGACTGGGCAGGTTATATTTATGTATTTAAGAACACACACACACACACACACACACACACACACACACACACACACACACACGTGAGGACAATTAAAGAAAAAGAGGTCATGAATTTGAGAGAGAGAGAGAGAGAGAGAGAGAGAGAGAGAGAGAGAGAGAGAGAGAGAGAGAAAGTGGAGTGTGTGGGGGAATAAAAGGAATGGGGAATTTATATAATTATATTATAATATCAAGAAATTTTAAAAAAAATCACACAAGATCTGAATGTACATGGATGGAGTAGGAAGGTGTGACTTTGTGGGTTCAGTGGAATGACAGACCATTTTGGGGGAGCAGGATGGTGAAACTAAATTGAGGTGGGCTGAACCAAGGAGGCTTCAAAAATCTCCCCCAGAAGAATTGGAGTTCGTAGATTAGATAGAAGAAAATGGTGAGGGCTTCAGGCATAAGTAAAACAAGAACACACCTTAGGAACTCTGTCCTTCCCAAGTGTTATAGAGTTACATTTGGTTTTCATTCTTCATTCTATTACCGTTATTATCACTATATTACATGTGTGTTTATGTGTAAGCCATGTGCCATGTGTCAAAGCATGTATGTGGAGGTCAGAGGACAGAATTCATTCATCATTTTCCTCATTTCAGGGAACTCAGATAGTCAAGCATAGGAGGCAAATGATGTCGCCTGCTAAGAAATCTTGCCAGCCCTCTAAGGCATTTTCTTTTCTTTTCTTTTTTTTTTAAAGATTTATTTATTATGTATACAGTGTTCTGCCTGCATGTATGCCTGCAGGCCAGAAGAGGGCACCAGATCTCATTATAGATAGTTGTGAGCCACCATTTGGTTGCTGGGAATTGAACTCAGGACCTCTAGAAGAACAGTCAGTGCTCTTAACCTCTGAGCCATCTCTCCAGCCCATCCTCTAAGGCATTTTGAAATGAGGTACATTTCACTACCTGTCCCCTGAAATGAAACACCACCAGAACAATAATATGATGTGCTGCTTATAGCATCAAAGGCTTCCTAAGATTGAACTTTCCTGATTCTAAGATTTCGTATTAGGAATTCTCATATCAGGAGGGGCTTGAGAGATGCCTCAGAAGTTAAGAGCATTGGATGGCCTTGCAAAGGACCTGAATTCAGTGTCCAGCACCCACATGACAGCTCACAATGACCTGTAACTGTAGTTACCAGGGATCCAATGCCCTCTTCTGACTTTCTCGGGCATAAGGCAGTCACATGGTGTATATACATACATGCAGGCAAAACACTCATATGCATACAATAAAAATTAATAAAGTTTAAAAAAGAATTCTCATCTAAGAGGGAATGGAAATAAATTACTAGTGACTAGAGGCTAAGTTTAGTGGTTTAAAATGTGCTTCACTCCTATGTCCTTAAACATTTCTTATTGTTACCATATAGCATTTTTTAACTTAATTTTTTTGAGAACATTAGTACTGTTGTTGGGAGCACAGATGTCCTGTGCTCACAGGCAAGCTCTGGGAAACCAGCAATGTTAAACACACAGGGTTATCTCTTCAATGGGAGAGATGTATAACCTGTTTTCCACCCAGAAGGCTGGGAATGGAGGTAGGTAGTTAATAGCTTGGTGATCTGTGCTTTCTGTAGGGCCATACCAAGGTCCCACAAGCAAGACCAGAGGTAGAATGGCGTAGGTGAACTTTGAATTATTTATTTGGCCAGGGGCTCCCCCAACTCCCCCACAACCACCGCTGGAGAGACTTAATAGTCTAGGTGACCTTTGTATAATCTGCATGTCTAGGGGCTCCCCCCAGATCCCACAACCATGACAGGAAGTGGCTAATAGCCCAAATGACCTCTGTGCTATCCGTGTGACCAAGACCACACCAGGTTCTCCCCTGGGCCCTTAAGATAACACATGCAGCCTCTCTCTAGAACCCATCTTCATGGAAGAAGTGACTTGTATTTCGAGAAGAGTTTCAATGTAATTATGCTTCCTGGTGCACAGGGGATTGTCACACCAGGAAACTTTCCACCCCGAAACTGTACTATACTTAAATGTGCCTAAAATAAAGTGCCCAGTATCAGACTCTAAAATTCTGAACAACACAGGCTGTCGAGTAGTGTTGAACTGGGTTTCCTTCCGACCGCCTTTGGACTGACACTCACTCCACTGGTCCCCACATACTGTGGTACATCATGCCCACTCCTCCCCTCCCCAACTTCTCCCATGGCCCCCAACTCCATCTCAAATTCATGAACTCTTCTTCTATAATTATTACTGTTTTATATATATATATATATATATATATATATATATATATATATATATATATATATATATATATATATATATAACCTACTGGGCCCATTTAGCATTGCTCTTAGGTACGTGTGTTTGGGGCTGATCACTTGGATTTGGATAACCCATTGGAGGATCATCCTTGGAAAAAACTGATTGTCCCTCTCTCAACAGCTGGCCTGTAGTTTTTCATCTAGCAGGTGGGGCTTTGTGAAATCTCCCCCATTCATATTGGGTT